ATCGTGCACTAACTCTAAAAGTTGTCAACTTTAACAATTAATATCTCGCTTCGGAGGGCAGAGCAACGATTTTGTCTGAGGAAAAAGTTGTTTCTCGTTGAAAAACGCGTCGAATGAGACCAATTTGATTGATTTTGGAGGTGGAGCAGCTATACTGAAGAATTACCAATTCCAAACTTTTTTTGTTAATAACTTTCTAACGAATAACGACCGCCGGCTAAAAACTTCTAAGAGTTACTCAGGAGGGTGACCTTGACAACATATGTCAAGATCAAGGTCATCGGAAGGTGGGGTCTTTTTATGCACATTTACCATGTTTTTTATCAAATGAATCAATACAAAGGCCAAAAATGTTACGAGCGAATAAAAGATGAAAGTCAAATAGTTAATAATTTAAAACATTTACTTAGATGTATTAAAATTCAAGGGTATACAAGATTGTTGCGAACGTTTCGGTGTCACAGCACCTTCTTCAGCGCAAAGTTATGTTAATAATATAAATTAGTAAAAATGAATAAAGTTAGGTTAATAATATAAAATAGTGAAAATGTATAAAGTGTATAAATTAATTACAATGTAGAAATACGGTCAAAAAGTAAAAGATTTAAGATAAAATTTGTGTCTAGAGATAGGAGTCACATTTTCTTTATAATTAACCTATCGTGTGGTTTTAGTTGTCTGAGATCTGTTCTTTTCCGTCTAATAACAGTGTACTGAGGTTATGTAATGTTTTTTATGTTCTATTACAATAAATGTATCTTTTTAACCTTTGTAATCAACAATTGAGTCGACAAATTCTGGCACAATTCATATATTTAATTATTCACGACGTTTCGATCAGTAATACTGATCCTTTTCAAGTGGATATTATAATAAGTCTATTGGTTGTTACAGCAACAAATCTGGAAATTATATGGGAGTAACAATAGAGACTTAAGAGGTTGAAAGAGAAAATACAAATGAAAACTTACAGAAAGTATGTCGTGGCGCATGATAAAATTATAAGAGAAAATTTAGAACTAAAATCACTCATCACGTCAACCACCACGGTCTGATCGTATAAAAGTCTAAAGAGGAACTGCCAAGATAAAGTCAAGTGGGAACAATAGTTATTAACCGATGTATCGTCAAAATATAAGATACCCGTGGGAGGGGGGGGGGAAGGGGGAGAATGACGAATAACAAAACAGGCAAATAAATAAATAAATCAGGTGATGCGAACGATTTTATCGTAGATGGGATTGAGGTTGTCGGTATCTTGTTGGAGATTTATTGTGTTGTGGGATTTTTTGATGAAAAACATCTCGGCAATTTCTCTCTTACGATGATGAGATTCTTTATGTAGGATGGTAGGGTTGTGCCAATCAAATTCATGGCCTAGAAGAGTCCGATGTTTACTGACCACAGAGTGGTTGCTTGTCGGTTTTTTGATGTCATTACAATGTTCTTTTATCCTTGTTTCGATGTGTCTTTTTGTCTGGCCGATATAAGAAGCGTCGCAGTTAATACAATTTATTTTATATACGAGCTCGGTCTGTTTTGAGTCAACTATTCTGTCCTTCCCCTTTCTGACGATTACATTTAATTTCTTAAGTACCGAGAACCGGGTGTGTATGTCATGTTTTTTCAAAATTTGGCTGATGTCACTGACACCACTAATATAAGGTATGGTGACAGAATTCGTGTAGTCGTTGCACTCGGTGGGTTGGACTATTATATCAGAATTAGCAACGTGCATGAGATGTTTTAGCCTCTTATGGATATGCTTGTCAATGAAAGGGGAAGGATACGAATTATTCAAGAGTATGTTTTTAACTATGTCGATATTAGAGTCGTGAAAGCGTTGGTCAGCGAGTAAAATAGCGTGGTATCTTTTTAAATTACAATAAATGTATTTTTAATGTTTAATTGCAATACTAACACAATGTACCACCCAGGTGTCCGCGCTATTAAAAAAAAAGGTGTCGAAACGATATGTATTACATGTAACTTAGTAGGTGCTAGTATAAACGCGGAACTCTCTGACATCATGCACCTTGATAAGGAAGTCGCCGTCAGCAGCCTGGTTTCGACGCTTGATCTCATACCATGGAAAATAATACGCGCAGCTGTGCCGGCGCTAATCAAAGGTATCCCGGTGATATCTATTACATACACGCGCCGTGGATCGTCTCGCGCCGCGGATCGTTTCGCGCTGCGGACCTCCCCCTTCCCCGCGCCGGGGATCGCGTAGCGCCGCGATCCTCCTCCCCGCGCTGCGGATCGCCACGGATCGCCGCGGATTCATTCACCTTGATATGAAAGTCGCTGTTAGCAGCCAGGTTTCGGCGCTTGACCCCGTGACTCATAACATGGACAATAAGAATACGCGTCCAGGTGTTCGCGCAAAAAAAGTACCGAAACGAGTGACAAATTTTATTCTCATCTATAATTACCCAGAAAATTTTTATTTTTTTAAAATTTTTAATTACTAACACATTATTCTACTCATTGTAAATGAATTATTTTTTATAAACTAAAAATTTTCGCCCCCAACCTTAGAACTCCCTATTCTCCCCTACTCACCCGATATCCGGAGAAGACGGAGCCGGAGCAGGGGACAGGAGGCAGGTACAGGGCGTTTCGGCAACATACACATCAGCAAGTTGGGTTGTCTATCTGCTTACCGACAGGGGCATGCTTTATCGGGCTCACAGAATAAGATCAGATGCAAGTTCGGCGGTTTTCTAATTCTTATACAGTGTATGTGCAG